AAGAGGAGAGTGAAAAAGTTGTCTTAAAATTCAACATTCGGAAAACTAAGATCATGGCATCTAGTCCAGTCACTTCATGGCAAATAGATGGGGATACAGTGGAAACAGTGAGAGACTTTATTTTCTTGGGCTCCAAAATCTCTGCAGATGGTGACTACAGCCATGAAATTAAAAGATGCTTGCTCCTTGGAAGGGAGCTATGATCAACCTAGACAGCATATTTAAAAGCAGAGACAGTACTTTGCCAACAAAGGTCCATCTAGTCAAAGCTATGGTTTTTCCAGTAGTCATGTATGGATGTGAGAGTTAGACTATAAAGAAAGCTGAGCACTGAAGAATTGATGATTTTGACCTGTGGTGTTGAAGAAAACTCTTGAGAGTCCCTTGGACTGCAGTGAGGTCTTACCAGTGCATCCTAAAGGAGATCAGTCCTGAATATTGATTGAAGGACTGATGGTGAAGCTGAAACTCCAATATTTTGGCCACCTGATGCGAAGTACTGACTTATTTGAAAAGACCCTGATGCTGGGAAGGATTGAAGGTGTGAGGAGAAGGGGATGACAGAGGATGAGATGGTTAGACGGCATCACCAACTGGATGGACATGAGTGTGAGCCAGCTCTGAGATTTGGTGATGGAAAGGGAAGCCTGGCTAGCTAGCTGCAGTCTAGAGTGTCACAAAGAATCGGACACAATTGAGCAGCTGAACTGAACTGAAACACTTTGGAGAACTATTAAGCCTTTATTTTATGTATACAAAATAAATCTACAGCCATCCTATAGCCTGGCAATTTTACTCCTGGACTTTCCAAGTAAATGAAATAATATAGCCACAAAAAGACGTACAAGAATGTTCTTAGCATCTTAATTCATAGTAGCCTCTAACTGAAAACAGTTGATATTTAGGACTCTTCTAGGAACCTTAGGCCTAATTTGTGAAAAATCCCTGAGACAGCTGGTACTTAAAATTTTCTAATGTAATTCCATAAGTACTAGTGATGCATAGTATCTTAGGTGCATCATTACAATAACTGGGTTAGCCAGTATAAGGTTATAAAGAATTGTCTCTATTAGCTACCCTAGTTTTTCTGCTTCTGGTTGTCCAAATACCTACAGTATCTGTATTTTAAACATTTCAGTGATAGCATAGGCTAATATTTCATAATAATAGTAGCAGACACTTTATATTCCATATTTCATCCTGAAAGAACCCTAAGTTGGTACTTTTTAGACTGTTTATAATAGGTAAAAATCAATAACTTTTTGGTAGAATATGCTTTAAACAAGGTGACGAAGCAGGCTACAATTTGTGAAAGAAATTGAGAGAGGATGTCACATATATTTGAAATTATGGAGAGAACATTCATTTCTTTTGTTCTGGGCAGAAAAATCAATGCTCAAATTTTAGTTTTTCTAATATACAAGCTTTGACCTCCTTAACAAAAAGTACAGTGACGTTTGGACTGAGTAGGCCAAGTCCTTCAATGTTTGGGGTTTGGCAAAATGGAATTCTTAAATGGATTCTAGGATCATCTTCAGAGTTTAAAAATTAGAGGACCTTGGTTAAACTTCGAGAGAAATAGAACTTATAGAAGTATGATTCTGGGGTTTCCCTTGTTGCTCAATGGTAAAGAATCCACCTGCCAGTGCAGGAGCCACAGGCTTGACCCCTGGTCTCAGAAGATCCCGCATGGGGAGCAGGTAAACCCGTGCACCACAACTGCTGAGCCTGTGCTCTAGAGCCTGGGAACCACAGCTACTGAAGCCCGTGTGCCTAGAGCTGGTGCTCCACAGTGAGAGAAGCTTCTGCAACGAGAGGGCCTCACACTGCAACAAAGAGTAGCCCCCGCTTGCTACAACTAGAGGCAGGTCCCCTCAGCAACAAAGACCCAGCACAGCCAATAAATAAAAATACAGAAATAAAACTATGAAAAAGAAGTAAGATGATACATTTTTGTCGGTAAGTAGACAGATACATATAAATATCCAGAGTATTTAGTGGGATAGTAGAGGAAGGTAGATTTTCTTTTTTCCAAGTATATTATCATTATATGGGCTTCCCAGATAGCGCTAGTGGTAAAGAACTTGCCTGCCAATGCAGGAAATACAAAAGACTCGGGTTCAATCCCTCGGTTGGGAAGATCTGGAGTAGGAAACAGCAACCTGCTCCAGTATTCTTGCCTAGAAAATTCATGGGCAGAAGTCTGGTGGGCTACAGCCCAGGGGGCCGCAAAGAGTTGGACGTGACTAAGCACACACACACATTAAGATTGTGGACAGACATTTTCCCTTTTAATCAACACAGATCACAAAAAAAAAGCTGGCAAAGGAAAAGCCTTAATATTTTTAAGGTGAGGGCAAAAATTTTATATATATATATATATTCACACACATGTGCACGCATGTGTACACACATGAAGACCTATTTTGCAAAAGCTAGAAAATTGTTTTTAAGGAGAAATACATGATCTACAATTGCAGTGCTTAGATATTTGGCAATTGGAAAAATAATTTTTGGTGAAAATAGGAAAACAGATTGACATCAATGTACATTAGCGTAGTGACTTTCATTTCTTGTACATACACTGTGAAATAGTTCTGGGCAATAAATTCTTAGAAAAGTGGGGTTGGATTGGATAAATGTCATAGTTTATGACTGAATACATATAAACAGATGAAAACTCAAGGTAGAGGGGTAATAATAGCCACCTGATAAAGAGACTTAAAAATCCTTTCACCTTATGAAAAAGATTGCTTTAGAGCTATAACTTGATATTATAGTTTGATTTTTTTAAAAAAGATATTGGTTACGTTTGTGGCTACTGTGGATACATAAAGAATGGAATGCCTTTTGTTCCCCCAATACAAAAAAGTATCTATCATTTAAAATCTTAACTGTAAAAAAATAATTGATGCTATAGATTCTGGAACTAATACCAAAATTATTGGAAAAGGTAACATAGCTACTATTTCTGCCATGGTGTCTTAAAGAATAGTTGACAGTAGAGAATTATATAACTATTTCAAGTCAGCAGCCAAGCTAAAGTGTAATTCTACAATGTTCACAACATATCATGACCCTTCAAACCTTTCCTTTATCCCCCAAATCCACCCTTTGCTGTCCATTTCATCTCTAGATTTCAGGTTTTTCATACCTTCTGTTTTCACTCATCTAAGCCTCACTCTTCCTCCTCACAGGAATCCTGTGAGATTACTGCAGACCATTTTGATTTTCCCTTTTCAAATTTCTGTAGCACACATACTACCTTTAGACCTGTTCTCTGCTGTTTATGAGGCCAGAACAATTTGTTTCATTCCTGTGTGTACATTAGTTAGCCAGATGCTGGGTGGTAAGTAAGTATTATAGAAAACAAGTTTAAAGGGAATTCAGAACAGGAAACAATAGTGTGATGATGAGTATTTGGAGAAAGTGGATTATGAGTGAGGTCCCAAACAGTGAAAGATTAGCCGAGTCCCAAATGAAAAAGATGGCTTAAAACTCAACATTCTGAAAACTAAGATCATGGCATCCAGTCCAATCACTTCATGGCAAATGGAGAAACAATGCAGTGAGAGACTTAATTTTGGGGGCTCCAAAATCACTGCAGATGATGACTGCAGCCATGAAATAAAAAGATGCTTTCTCCTTGTAAGGAAAGCTATGATCAACCTAGACAGCATATTAAAAAGCAGAAACATCACTTTGCCAACAAAGATCCGTCTAGTCAAAGCTATGGTTTTTCCAGTAGTCATGTATGGATTTGAGAGTTGGGACCATAAAGAAAGCTGAATGCCAAAGAATTGATGCTTTTGAACTGTGGTGTTGAAGACTCTTGAGAGTCCATTGGACTGCAGGGAGATCCAACCAGTCCATCCTAAAGGAAATCAGTCCTGAATATTCATTGGAAGGACGGATGCTGAAGCTGAATCTCTGCTACTTTGGCCACCTAATGCGAAGAACTGACTTTTTAGAAAAGACCCTGATGCTGGGAAAGATTGAAGGCAGGAGGAGAAGGAGACGACACAGGATGAGATGGTTGGATGGCATCACTGACTCGATAGACATTGGTTTGAGTAAGCCTGGGAGTTGGTGATTGACAGGAAAGCCTGGCGTGCTGCAGTCCATGGGGTTTCGAAGAGTTGGATACAACTGAGTGACTGAACTGAAATGTGCATAGCCTAAATGACTGGGACTATAGGTGTCATTTAATAATGGATGAATGAACAAATGAATATATTTTGAGTGGAATCATGTGTCTAAGTTTATTGGACTGTTCCTTTTGAATCATCCATTCATCATACATTTTTGAGTTCTAGACTACAAAGATGAAATAATAATTTATTTTCAGAAACGTAAATTCTAGTTGCGTATACAGAAATGTAGAGAATTACTAGAATTTACTAACTCCAGTAAGAGGTATACTCACGATCTATGTAAACACAGAACAGGAAGCTGCAGAGAGGATTTATTTAGAATAGGTCAAATTTTCAAAGGTCTTAAATGCTGTACTCAACTGTCTGAACATTATTTTGGTTAGCATTAGGACGTATGTCAGAGCAACTTTGTGAAGTTGAAGGACACCACTAACCCTTCTTAGGATTTCCCTGTGAGTCTTACTAAGAGAGAACTGCTGAGCATTTCTCTGGCCTAGCCCTGTAATTATCCTTCAGGTTCAGCTGACAGCAAATGTCAGGATGTAACTGGGAGAGTTGGCCGTCTCTACCTGCTTGGAAATACCGTCTCACAAGGTAGCAAGCCTTCAGTGTTAAAACTTCATAAACATCAGATTGAGATGCCCTAATTAGTATGGAGACCTGAAAAATGTGCATACCTTGAAATAACAGTGTTCACTTTGAAGATAGTAATTGTGTATATTTAAATCCAAAAAGAAAGAGCAAAGAAAAGAGTATTTGTTTGAATTTTGTGAGTTTTTCAAATGTATTTCCAAAGGTCTTTAACTAAACATAATGTATTTGTCCCAAATTATTATCTATTTCTAGTCATTTGATTCTCCTAAAATCACAAGGAAGAAAAGTGCTGCAGCCTATTCTCCAACAACTGGAACCTGTCCAATGAGCCCAGTTGCTTCTCCCACAAGCTCAAAAAAACAAGAAAACAGAAATGGACCATCAAATGGTTAGTTGAACAGTCTTTTCTGCTTATTATGAGATTTTTTTCCTAGGTGTTGGTTAAATCAGAATTTTGATTTATGTGAATATGTGAATCCTGCAGCAGCTGATTTTTGTCTTTTTTAAAGAATTCAACATAGAAAAGACTAGAATATAGGTAATACTTTGAACATAAATGTAAACTTCCTAGGCAGTTTTATTAAAATGCTGCTGCAGACTTTGTTACCTTACTTTCCCATCCATTAAATAGAAATTATGGCCTGACTGCCTTCAGCCACTATCAATTATAATGGTGTAGCCCCTTAACAAGTTAACAAGCTATCCATCATGTGCATAAATTAAAGGGCGCATAATTCAGGTAATGCACTACACTTTAAGAATAATACTTCCAAATGTTATTTTTATTCATGTTGTCCACTTAGTTTTATCCACATTTCCTGTGTCTTTATAGCTTGTTTTATTTATTGTATTTCATTCTCTTCCGTTATGTTATGATTTTAAGTGCACTTGCAAAAGGTTTGTATAATTACTGTTAGAGAATAATGTAATTTTAATATGAAATTCTTTATTTTAAATTATTGTTAGTTTAATTTTGACCACACATATTTCTTATCCTCTGGTAGTTTATTGCTAAAATATTCATTTAAAAGATGCAGGAATCTAGATTTCATAGGCTTAATTTTTATTTTTTAGATTTCATAGGCTTAATTTTTAATATTGTAAAAAGGTCATGAATCAGTGACATGTCAAGTTTCTATAATATGAACTATTAAGTAGGCTTAAATTTAAAATAATATATTTTAGATATACTGTGATTATCCTTATTCATATTTTTGTAAAACATTTGAGTGCTCAGTATATACTAGAAGCTACAGAACAACAAAGAAGTCTCCTCATTTTACCTAGTCTGTTGTAATGAAACCTATAATGAGACCTTAACTTTTGAATGACTTTAATCAAGTGCTTCTTAATCTTAAAGCTATCACTGTTTGCTTTCACAAAAATACATGAAGATGTATATGTTTTCTTCAAGCTCTATAGTTCTGGGTTGCTGTTTTTTCTTTAATTCACTTGATACACCATTTGTTTAAAATTAAAAATTAGTGCCTTAGGTATGGAACATCTCTCTACTGAAATGTGAATAGATTTTAAGTGGATACGTACTTAATTTCCATATTGAAATTAAATATGGACTTAAGGGAACATTTCTTTTGCCCATGAAAAGATTGGTCACATGATCTCAGTTGACATTTAAGTAGATAATTATCACCGGTTATAGTACTTGGTAAGCTCTTTTTTGAAAAGTCATATAGCAAGAGTTCCTAGGGTGCTGGTAATATTCTATTTCTATATGATGGCTATACTAGTTCACTCTATAATTATTCATTAAACTGTACATATGTGTTTTATGTAGTCTTTGATATATAGTTCTCATCCAGGTCTCAAAATAGAATTCTGCCTAGGATCTTATAGCAGATTATGTCATTTGTAATCATTATATTGATTTTCCTAATATGTCATTTTATATGTATTTTAGAAATAGAAAAGCTTGAGTCTTACAATTTAAGTTCTAAATGAAATCATAACTTTCGTTAACAGCGTCACTTTTCAAGTACTGTACAAAACACAAGGTAGAATTTAAATAAGCACTTCTACTTAAAGCACATTTTCAAAGACATTTTAGGTGCTCTTCCCATCACTCTTAGGATATAGTTCAAAACCTTATCCTGACCTTTAGGGCTGTATGTCATTTAATACCTGATAGTCTCATCTGCCTCATTTATTCTCCTGCCTTTCCCATGTTTACAGTACTTCAGCCACTCTTACCTTCTGGCTGTTTGTCAATCATGCTGAGCCCGTTGCCTCCACAAGAACTGCACTTGCACTTCTTTCAACCTGGAATATTCTTCCTCCAGGTATTTATATGTGTTTTCTATGTTCAGTTGAATTACATACTATGTGAACAGGTGGCAATATTAAATTTAAATCTATGTATAGTTATAAAAGGAAAAAAATCTATATCTAAGTCTTCCCTCTACTTAAATTCTACATAGCCCTCAAATGGAGTGACTGCTTCCAGTTTATACAGTGAAGATACACCTATACACACACTTTCCCTCTCTCTTATTTGCATTATGTATATTGATTACATTTATGTATGGTTGTGTGTGTATCGTTATACTGCCCTACCCCTTAGTAGGGGTCATCCCCATCCCTACCACTTGGCAAATTTTTCCAAAGTAGTATCCTTTTTAGAGGAGAGAAAAGATGGTAAAATTTTCTGTTCCTTTACTCCTAAGAATGCTTCTATTTTTTAATGGTTGGGGTGGAAGGATAAACACTAAATTTGCATAATCAAAGAGAGTACTTGTAAAATAGACAATAGATGTGTAGAAATCACCCTAGATTGTAGCAGTGTTAATAGCATAGCCAGATAAAGAGATGGAGTATATGATAAAACAGTAAAGAAAAGTAATGGATAGAATAAATTCCAACATATGTCAAATAGGAGTTCTACAATAAAGAAGAGAAAAAGGAGCAGAGGCAGTAGTCTAAGATATATGGACTATCAGGTTTTCGTAGTTGAGGAAAGATGGGAATTTCCAGATTAGAATAGCATGCTTTGTCTGAGCAGGATGAATTAAAACAAATTCACACCTAATCATATCATGATAAAACTGCAGAACAGCAAAAACAAAGAGAAAATTTTAGTGACAGGCCGACATTAGACTTCTCATCAGTATCTATAGACTGCAGCAGGAAATGGAATAATGCCAATTGAAAATCACATCTGAATTTTTCATTCAGGAAGTAAGAATGAAGTGAAGGTATTTTCATTCAGTCTGAGAGAATTATCCATTCCTAGATACTCCTTGAAAGACTATTAAAGAATATTCTTCTGTGAGTACATGCTCATAACTGAGCCTCAAATAAAGGAATGGAATGCAAAGAGGAATGGTAAAATAATAAATTAGCAGGCATGTTGGTAAATCTATAAACTTAGTTATAAAAATGTGGTTACCATTCCTGCTGACTATAAAGCAAAAGAGTGGGTTAAAAACAAATACTAATAGACCATAAGAGCTTGGAAGATATATGCGGAAACAGAAAGGAATTAAAATTTTAAGGTCCTTGTAATCTTCAGGGAGCAGATGGAATATCTGTCAGTTGAACTTTTAATTGTGTTTTTGTTTACTTGCCTTTAAAATGGGGAAATAACATCTACCTCAGGATTGTTGTAAGAATTAAAATTTGAGTTAACACACCAAAAGTACTTAGAACAATGACTGGCATATAGTAAGTGTTTAATACATACTTTCAGTTCAGTTCAGTCACTCAGTTGTGCCCGACTCTTTGTGACCCATGGATTGAGCATGCCAGGCTTCCCTGTCCATCACCAACTCCCAGAGCTTACTCACACTCATGTCCATTGAGTTGGTGATGCCATCCAACCATCGCATCCTCTGTCGTCCCCTTCTCCAACCCACTTCATTCTTTCCCAGATCAGGGCTTTTCCAGTGAGTCAGTTCTTTGCATCAGGTGGCCAAAGTATTGGAGTTTCAGCTTCACCATCAGTCCTTCAATCAATATTCAGGACTGATCTCCTTTAGGATGGACTGGTTGGATCTCCTTGCAGTCAAAGGGACTCTCAAGAGTCTTCTCCAACACCACAGGTCAAAAGCATCAATTCTTCGGTGCTCAGCTTCTTTATAGTCCAGCTCTCACATCCATACATGACCACTGGAAAAACCATAGCTTTGACTAGATGAACCTTTGTTGGCAAAGTAATGTCTCTGCTTTTTAATATGCTGTCTAAGTTGATCATAGCTTTTCTTCCAAGGAGCAAGCGTCTTTTAATTTCATGGCTGCAGTCACCATCGCAGTGATTTTGGAGCCCAAGAAAATAGTCTCTCACTGTTTCCATTGCTTCTTCATCTATTTCCCATGCAGTGATGGAACCTGATGCCATGATCTTAGTTTTCTGAATGTTGAGTTTTAAGCCAGCTTTTTCACTCCTCTTACACTTTCATCAAGAGGCTCTTTAGTTCCTCTTTGCTTTCTGCCATGAGGGTGGTGTCATCTGCATATCTGAGGTTATTGATATTTCTCCTGGCAATCTTGATTCCAGCTTGTGCTTTATCCAGCCTGGCATTTCTCATGATGTACTCTGCATATAAGTTAAATAAACAGGGTGACCATATACAGCCTTGACATGCTTCTTTCCTGATTTGGAACCAGTCTGCTGTTCCATGTCCAGTTCTAACTTGCATCTTGACCTGCATACAGATTTCTCAGGAAGCAGGAAAGGTGGTCTGGTATTCCCATCTCTTGAAGAATTTTCCACAGTTTATTGTGATCTACACCGTCAAAGGCTTTGGTGTAGTCAATAAAGCCGAAGTAGATGTTTTTCTGGAACTCTCTTGCTTTTTCAGTGATCCAGTAGATGTTGGCAGTTTGGTCTCTGGTTCCTCTGCCTTTTTTAAATCCAGCTTGAACATCTGGAAGCTCTCAGTTCACATATTGTTGAAGCCTGGCTTGTAGAAATTTGAACATCACTTTGCTAGCATGTGAGTTGAGTGCAATTGTGCAGTAGTTTGAATATTCTTTGGTATTTCCTTTCTTTGGGATTGGAATGAAAATTGATCGTTTCCAGTCCTGTGGCCACTGCTGAAAATTTTCCAAATTTGCTAGCATACTGAGTGCAACACTTTTACAGCATCATCTTTTAGGATTTGAAATAGCTCAACTGGAATTCGATCACCTCGACTAGCTTTGTTAGTAGTGATGCTTCCTAAAGCCCACTTGACTTCATATCCCAGGATGTCTGGTTCCCAGTGAATGATCACGCCATCATGGTTATCTGGGTCATGAAGATCTTTTTTGTATAGTTTTGTGTATTCTGTCCACCTCTTAATATCTTCTGCTTCTGTTAGGTCCATACCATTTCCGTTCTTTATTGTGCCCATGTTTGCATGAAATGTTCCCTTGGTGTATCTAATTTTCCTG